GTGAGATTATGGGTAAAGTGGGCTAAACCTATTAGACTTAAAATAAACACGCGCGTGCTCGCCGCCACCGAGCGGGCTGGGCTTGGGTGCGTGGTGTTGGGTTGGGATTGTCCGGCCCAAACTTATCTTTTTGGGCCAAAAATTTTGAATTTATTTTTATTTTTTGGAAAATAAAATTTGTCTAGAAATTCAAATTTTTTTCTCTTCAAACAAATTCATATCTGTTCAATTTCAAACCCAACAGGTTCCTATCTATGTGAAATAAAACCGAACAGATTCATTTTTTGTTCAAAATTCAAACCCAAACAGTGCCTTACTTGTTCAAACAGTGCCGAACAAGTATTATACCTATTCAAACAGGTTTGCTACCTGTTTAATTCAAACCGAACAGCCACTATTGCACCTATAAATAGACAAGTCCCTCATTTGGCTTTTCATTCAATTTCCGTCCTCAAATCTGCTATTGCTCTCAGCATTTTGCTGTATTTAATTTTCTGTGACAAAGAATGTAAACACAAAATGTGTTTATTGTGCGAATAATTTGTAGTGCTGTTATTATTCGTTGTTGATCATTTTATCCTGGGAGATAGATGTCCACAATCTGAAAGCACCGTAGAAATGACGAATCTGTCTTAAGGACACAATGTTAAACACTGGACTTGATCAAAAAATTTGTTCGAGAAAATAATAACGTAAGTGCCTTGATTACTTTTTTGTTTAATTATTTTTTTTTTGTTTCAGATTTTGATTTTGTTTTTATAACAAAATAAAAATCTGTTTGTTATTTATTTATTTTTATACACTATTTTAATTTTTGTAATCAAGCAGTCTCTTTCCTTTTCTTTATTTCTTCTGTGTTCTGTTTGTTATTAAGTACACAAATAGAATTTAATTCTTAATACAATGAAGATTATCTAACAGAAATGCTAAAAAGAAAGTGAAAACTGTCCTATCCTTATTAAATTCTATAAAAAAAAATTATATATATGATGGCTAGAGCAAATTTTCTCAGATTACTTTCTTGCATGAAACAGATGGAAAGTGCATATGTGGTCCCATTATCCCAAAGCTATTCTTGAAATGAAGTAATCTGATTGGCATCCAACTCAACACCGTCTTGATGCAGGTGAGCAGTTACTGTTTTAATTGTGTTGCTCTAAAGTCAGAAAAATTCAATTGAATTTCATCAAGCGTGACAAACCACATTCGATTTTGACGTCTTAGTTTGGTTTGTTTAATCTTGAATTAAGTTGATATACAAGAAATAATGGACCCCATATGTCCCTGGCATGTGGTGTTTGGACATATATGACGAAGCCTTACCCAAAAAACAAAAAACAAACCAAAAAAAAAGGAAAAAGCATTAAGCTAGAGCATCTATGCGGTGTTGTGCAATCTTCACCTACCTGTTAATGTAAATGTAAATTGTAAATAGTAAATCACCACTACCTACCATCATCACCTACCACCACCTACTCCTCACTTACTCCTCACCTACTACACTCACCCTCTCCTATATAATGAGCCACTCACCATTTGTAATATACACAACAAGCATACATTATTCAATAATACAATTTTCTATTTCTTTTATACATCTGTTTTAACATGGTATCAGAGCTAAGTTAAGAACTTAGTATTTTTCGCTTCACCGGCGGGCGGCAACCTCGCCTTGGCCGCCCGCCGGACCTCAACCTAGTCCGCTAAAATTTTCTACACATACCTTGAAATTTCCCTTCTTCAACCTTCTTTGTCTTCACCGGCGTAACCGCCTTCGCCTTCGCCTTCGCAACAACCGTCTTCTTCACGGGAGCTTTCACTACCGCCGCTGCAGCAGGAGCCTTCTTGACAGCGGCTGATACAGGCTTCGCCGCCGAACTTTCACTGTCGCCGCCGCAGCAGGAGCCTTCTTGACAGCGGCTGATACAGGCTTCGCCGCCGAACTTTCACTGTCGCCGCCGCAGCAGGGCACACCTTTTGAGGGCACGACTTTTGAGGGCTCGATCTCTACATCCATGTATATTTTTTTTTTTGGGCAGCCTATATACACACTCATACAGTGTCTTCTACACCGGTCAGCTTTATCAATCCCTTTGTTTCAACCTCAAATAGGTTTCTATCTTCACACCTATTTGAGTTTGAGGGGGGGTTATACACAGTATCATGTATAAGTCGCCCATGGCGCACTCCCTAAGTCACCCCCTTGATGCACCACCACAATCTTCTACAACGGTCCGACATGACCCCGTAAACTGTCTGCTACAACGGTCCGACATGACCCCGTAAACTGTCCTGCCACATCGGTCCGACATGACCCCGTAAACTGTCTTCTACAACGGTCCGACATGACCCCGTAAACTGTCTGACACGATCATACCGTGTCTCCTACAACGGTCTGACACAACCATACCGTGTCTCCTAGCCTGTTTTGTTTTTTATTTTATCAGTGTACTTTTCTGTTTTGTTACTCTTTCCAAACTCAAGTTGGCTAGTACCTATCCTCCTTGAGTTTGAGGGGGGCTGTTAATGTAAATGTAAATTGTAAATAGTAAATCACCACTATCTACCACCATCACCTACCACCACCTACTCCTCACCTACTACACTCACCCTCTCCTATATAATGAGCCACTCACCATTTGTAATATACACAACAAGCATACATTATTCAATAATACAATTTTCTATTTCTTTTATACATCTGTTTTAACCTACCATTCTTCAACACAGTCAGAAATCCGAATATGAGAGTTGGTAGTTGAACTCATTGTAAGAAAAAGATGGAAGGAAAGAAAAGAAGAAAAAAAAAAGAAAAAGAAAATATGAGAGAAGGAGATAAGCGGTAAAGTAGTAAGTTGTTGAGAATGCTTTCAATAGCTAATGTAAATATGTAATGATATTTTGCACGAGGATAAGCCAGAAATTTTATGAGAAATTATGGCAAATGAATTATTTGAGAAAAAGCTTTCCAATAATAGCTACTATATTTGTCTATCTTATCAAAGGATTGATGGATATTAAAAAATATTTCTTGGACTCTATTAACTCCTGGTCCTGCATGCTTTTATTTCAAACATAGTGTGGGTGGAAAAGTCTCCTCAATTATTGTCATTGATTTGGACTTCACATAAAACTATAAGCCCATGTTTAATAAATTAGTAACATACGAATGAAATTATATATGCAGCAGTATGAGAATTTATATTATGCTTTATTATGATAAGATATAGAATGCGATAAGTCCTATTAAATGGATAGATATGAAATTAACAATATCATCATTTGGTTGGAAGAATAGTATCATGATATACTAATTTCACTGATTTTTGTCAATTAAACATATGATTAGATAAAAAGATGTGGGGTTTAGGTGGGCTTCGTAGTAATTACCAATTTCGGTCCCCTTCTAGGCTGCATATCATTGAAAGAATCAATCGCATTGAAGGTAATGCTCACAAACAGATTTGTTTCACTGTAGATTCAACTAGTAGCACTTTTGAATGGTAGGTTTTACAATTTCCTCTGCTCATGATATGTCAGACTCACAAGGCAAGTACTATGGGACAAAGTTAATCAATTAGGATTAGTGAAAAGAGTAAATGTGTATTGAACTATAGAGGCCTTTTCAAGAGCTTGGTAAATTTATCTGGCCCAATAATAATACGCACGTTTGGGCCTTTCGTTTGTTAAATGAACTTGGGTCACCAAAGAAGTTGATGGGTTGTCATGCCACAGCAATTTGGGGTTTTCCTTTTTCCTTTATAGATAGACTCATTCTTTTTTTCTTTTCTTTTTTAATGTTTTAGATTTGTCAAGAGAAAGTAAAATTAAACGAAAATATAATTATTTTACAAGTAACTAAACATATATTTTTTTTGGGGGGACAAATATCGATTCATTTTCTTAACCTAGACAAAAGAAGAAAAATAGCTGCTTAATTTCTGTTCATATATTTTCTTCATCTTTTTCTTTTCTCTAAGCAAATCTAAGATTCAAACACTACTTTAGTTGCAATTCTTCTTTTGTACACCCCTAAAGCATTCAACCAAGAAAATATAACATATTTGAAAATAAAATGAAAATATAATTATTTTACAAGTAACTAAACATATATTTTTTTTGGGGGGACAAATATCGATTCATTTTCTTAACCTAGACAAAAGAAGAAAAATAACTGCTTAATTTCTGTTCATATATTTTCTTCATCTTTTTCTTTTCTCTAAGCAAATCTAAGATTCAAACGCTACTTTAGTTGCAATTCTTCTTTTGTACACCCCTAAAGCATTCAACCAAGAAAATATAACGTATTTGAAAATAAAATTCTTTAAAAAAAAACTGTTTATTACATGACTACCATGCTAATTTTGACCTATGAAAATGGTGATGGTTTGGCAATTGTTCTTGGGCCAGTTTTTCCAGGATTTTTTAATTAATAAATAATTATTAAGCATGAAAATAAGATTATGAAGAAAGGGATTTTAATCCTGTTTATTTACCATGTCAATTCTTCCTCCAATTACATAATCCAGGTGGTTAGTAATCACACCATATATGCATTTTAGGTGCATGACATCATGAATACAACTAAAAATAATTACTATTTTTACTTGGAGCTTAAACCAAGTTATATAGAAGCCACATAAAGAATTTGCAATTAGGATATAAGTTGACATTTTAGGGAGGGGAAGGACAAAAAATAATATTTACCGTCCATAGCTTAGCTCACATTGGATACATATATCTTTCAACAATTTGTATGCTAAGTCAAATATCAATATTTATATATTCAAGAGTATCGGTATGGCACGATCGATCTCATTCAATTGCGTCAAATATATAGAGAGATAGCGATATCTATTATTCATATTTTATTAGTATCAGTATCAATGGCGGCAAAAGATTGACCTCCTTCATCAATATCTTCAATTGAGAGAGATAGATACCTATATTCAATTATTTGTATCAATATCAGTGGATTTGCATCACACACACACACAGAATGGTAAGAACATCCAAAAAAAGATTATAACAAAACAATAACCTAAAATGTATAGTACACCCAGAGAAAGAATAACCCAACAACATGCTTGCAGAATCGCCAATGCAGGACCTTCTTAGCCTTCCAAACAAAGCTACTTCTAAAAATCATGCTCTATATTTCCTAAATTTTTTTAAGTAAAAATAAAAAAATAAAATCAACTGGGGCTATACACCTATATTTCACTTTACAGTGGGAGTTGGAATTCCAAATTCAGGAACCACACAATCTCCATTAACAAATGAATCAAAGATGAACAATACAACTGGTAGCAAAAAGAATCATTCAAGACTTCCAAGTGGTCCAACCAACCAACCATCCTCTGAATCACCTCAATTTTCATCTGCCACCTGAAATTTCCTCTCCTTGTTTCTGTTTAGAAGAAGAAGGCCGGTCAATCTCAACCGTGTATGAATGGTATCTATACGGGGAGCAAATATTCCGCGGAGCCTGTACTCCTTTCGTCCAAACTCCTTGTCTATTCGATCGACCTGCGAGCACAACGACGGTGAGCTATCCGGCGGTGTGTGGCCGGAAAACTCCTCCGACAGTCAAGTTAGCACACACTCAGAGATAGAGAGAGAGAGGAAGCGAGTTTCTCTCACCAGATGAAGTTTCATCCCCAGCATGGGGGGCGCAGTCATGCTTGTATACTTTTTGCGTTCACCTCTGCACCCATTCGTCTATTGACATGTGGAGCTGCTCTCCCATCTATCAGCATAAATCCAGCTAAACACCACCTAATCAAACCGCCAGACAACATTAGCGGGAACGAACAGCCCGGCAGCACCATCCCGGCCTCCTTCAACCGTGCTGCCTAACAAGCCCAACAATGCTCCTCGCCGAGCACCATCATTACCGAGCTCAGTAGCACTCTAGTGCGACTGTGCTCCAGCCAAGTTAGGCTGGTCTGCGGTAGATCACGATCACCGAGCTAAAACGAGCGAACAAGAGAAGACAAGCTGGCAGAGGATTATCTCGGCCAACTTTGGTCTGGACTTCGGTCGAACAAGCTTCCTTTCGGCACGACTCAGCCCAGCTCAGCCCAAATACGCTTGGACCACTTTCAGCCCGACCAGAACCGCGACCCAAGCCGAGATTACGGAAATCTCGCTCTCAATTGCCCCTTAATTTCGTCCGCATTTGCGTGACCGGAATTACATTACAAGGCCGGGCTCGACTTTTTGCTGGGTGGTTCACTTTGCTTGGTTTAGAAACTTCAAAGTTGGCAAGCAAAGTCAGCTCAACAACTTGCTTCTTGGTGAATAAAATCAGCTCAGCAACTTGTTTCTTGGCGAGAAAGATCTACTCGATAAGGAACTCCAAGGTTGGGAGCAAGGTTCACTCCGCGACTTGCTTCTTGACGAGCAAGATTAGCTCAGCAAAGAACTCCAAGGTCGGCGAGCAAGGTTCGCTCCGTGACTTGCTTCTTGGCAAGCAAGATCAGCTCAGCAAGGAACTCTAAGGTCGGCAAGCAAGGTCCGCTCTGCGACTTCCTTCTTGGCGAGTAAGATCAGCTCGGCAAGGAACTCCAAGAACGGGAGCAAGGTCAGCTCGGCGACTTTCTTCTTGGCGAGCAAGATTAGCTCGGCAGGGAACTCCGAGGTCGGTGAGAAAGGTTAGCTCGACAACTTTCTTCTTGGTGAGCAAGATCAGCTCGGCAAGGAACTCCAAGAGCTGGAGCAAGGTCCGCTCCGCGACTTGCTTCTTGGCGAGCAAGATTAGCTCGGTAAGGAACTCCAAGGTCGGCGAACAAGGTCCGCTTCGCGACTTCCTTCTTGGCGAGGAAGATTAGCTCGGCAAGGAGCTCTAAGTTCGGCGAGCAAGGTTCGCTCCGTGACTTGCTTTTTGGCGAGTAAGATCAGCTCGGCAAGGAACTCCAAGGTCGACGAGCAAGGTCCACTCCGCGACTTGCTTCTTGGTGAGCAAGATCAGCTTGGCAAGGAACTCTAAGAGCGGGAGCAAGGTCCGTTCCACAACTTACTTCTCGGCGAGCAAGATCAGCTCGGCAAGGAACTCCAAGGTCGGCAAGCAAGGTCAGCTCAGTGACTTCCTTCTTGGCGAGCAAGATCAGCTCGGCAAGGAACTCTAAGAGCGGGAGAAAGGTCCGCTCCACCACTTGCTTCTCGGCGAGCAAGTTCAGCTCGGCAAGGAACTCCAAGGTCGGCGAGCAAGGTCAGCTCGGTGACTTTCTTCTTGGCGAGCAAGATCAGCTCGGCAAGGAACTCTAAGAGCGGAAGCAAGGTCCGCTCCGCGACTTACTTCTCGGCGAGCAAGATCAACTCGGCAAGGAACTCCAAGGTTGGCGAGCGAGGTCAGCTCGGCGACTTCCTTCTTGGCGAGCAAGATCAGCTCGGCAAGGAACTCTAAGAGCGGGAGAAAGGTTCGCTCCACGACTTGCTTCTCGGCGAGCAAGATCAGCTCGGCAGGGAACTCTAAGGTCGGCGAGCAAGGTCAGCTCGACGACTTTCTTTTTGGCGAGCAAGATCAGCTTGGCAAGGAATTCTAAGAGCGGGAGCAAGGTCCGCTCCACGACTTGTTTCTTGGCGAGCAAGATCAACTCGGCAAAGAACTCCAAGGTCGGCGAGCAAGGTCTGCTCAGCGACTTTCTTCTTGGTGAGCAAGATCAGCTCGGTAAGGAACTCTAAGGTCGGCGAGCAAGGTCCGCTCTACGACTTCCTTCTTGGCGAACAAGATCAGCTAGGCAAGGAACTCTAAGGTCGGTGAGCAAGGTCTGCTCCGCGACTTCATTCCTGGCGAGCAAGATCAGCTCGGCAAGGAACTCCAAGAGTATGAGCAAGGTCCGCTCGGCGAATTTCTTCTTGGCGAGCAAGATCAGCTCGGTAAGGAACTCCAAGGTCGGCGAGCAAGGTCCGCTCCGTGACTTGCTTCTTGGCGAGCAAGATCAGCTCGGCAAGGAGCTCTAAGAGCGGGAGCAAGGTCCGCTCCGCGACTTGCTTCTTGGCGAGCAAAATCAACTCGGCAAGGAATTTCAAAGTCGGCGAGCAAGGTCAGTTCAGCGACTTTCTTCTTAGAGAGCAAGATCAGCTGGGCAAGGAACTCAAAGGTCGGCGAGCAAGGTCCGTTCCGCGACTTCCTTCTTGGCGAGCAAGATCAGCTCGGCAAAAAACTCCAAGGTCTGCGAGCAAGGTCCACTCCGCGACGTCCTTCTTGGCGAGCAAGATCAACTCAGCAAGGAACTCCAAGGTCGGCGAGCAAGGTCCGCTTCGCGACTTTCTTCTCGCCGAGCAAAATCCGCCCGGTAAGGAATTCCAAAGTTGAACAAAACACTACTTTCATCTTGTCATGCAAAATCAGTCTGAAAAGGAATTCTGATCTTTCCTTCAAAATGATTATCAATTGCCCATTTTCCTCGGCCTTCTGACTGACGTCTTCCAAAACCAAACTCCTTAGATCTCTTCCATGGTTGTTTGCACCGCCATCCTTTGCGCTTCCCGCCAGCGAGTGTGCTCCTCCAACACATCCCTTAGGTCTTTCAAACGGTTAGAGCGTGAATATCCCAACGTTGTCGTCGGACGTAAGGGGTAGTAACTGCTGTCCCGTGTACGAGATGTCATCGTCGGCGTGACATAGTCTTCAGCTCTGAAGCTTCTCGTGATGAAGAGTGAAGGGGTGCGACGTCTATTCTGACTGTCGGAACGGCGGGAATGGGCGTGCTCACTATGGTTTCTCACTCTTGTGACGCCCTTTCCCTTCATCTGGCGTCTCATGGCCTCCACCCTTGTCGCCATTTTCTTAATGATGGTATCTTAGTCTTTCAACTTGTCTTCGAGGTGCCGAGTGTATGAATCTCGCTGTCGGCAACGCTCTTCTGCAACGATAGAGCGCCTATAACTCCTTGCGTGCTCGTTTCGTGCATCTCTGGGAAGACCTTGTGCGGAGGTCTCCAAATCAGCCATCGTTGGAATGGCGGACGGGCCATCTCTGCGCCAAACGGACTCTGGCGTGATGCCATCGATGGCGAGTAACGGAATGTCATCATGGTTCGCCATAAAAGATGACTGGAGAAGCTTGGAGGACAAGGTTTTGTCTGTCGACTTCCCACAGACGACGCCAATTGTATGGAGAGCAAATATTCCATAGAGTCCGTACTCCTTTCGTCCAAGCTCCTTATCTATCCAATCAACCTGGGAGCACAACGGCGGTGAGCTACCTGGCGGTGTGTGGCCAAAAAATTCCTCAGACAGTCAAGTTAGCACACACTCAGAGACAGAGAGAGAGAGGAAGAGAGTTTCTCTCACCAGATGAAGTTCCATCCCCAGCATGGGGGGCGCAGTCATGCTTGTATACTTTCTGCGTTCACCTTTGCACCCATTCGTCTATTGAGACGTAGAGCTGCTCTCCCATCTGTCAGCGCAAATCCAGCTAAACACTACCTAATCAAACCGCCAGACAACATTAGCGGGAACGGACGGCTGACAGCACCATCCCGGCCTCTTTCGACGTGCTGCCTAACGAGCCTAATAATGCTCATCGCCGAGCACCATCACTACCAAGCTCAGCAACACTTCGGTGCGACTCTGCTCCAGCCAAGTTAGGCCGGTCTACGGCAGATCACGATCACCGAGCTAAGACGAGCGAACAAGAGAAGACAAGTTGGCAGAGGATCATCTCGGCCAAGTTTGGTCTGGACTTCAGTCGAACAAGCTTCCTCTCGGCACAGCTTAGCCCAGCTCGGCCCAAATACGCTTGGACCACTTTCAGCCCGGCCAGAACCGCGACCCAAGCTGAGATTACAGAAATCTCCCTCTCAGTATCCACAAGAACTTGACAGATTACTAGAACCACCACCACCACCACTGCTACTCGTTGTTCTCTCAATATCATCAATATTCGCAATCATAGAAATCGGTCTTTCAGGGATAGATGGAACCGGTAAATCTGTGTCTAAAATCTTCACAACTTGGTCCATTGTCGGCCTAGCATATAACTGTGGGTGAGAACATAGTACTGCAACCAATACATACTTCTCTGTAACTTCTGGAGGACCCAAATCTCTCATACCGTCTTCAATCACATCTAAAGCTTTCCCTTTCCTCACCAACGACCACGCCCACTCAGTCACAAGTGTGGGTTGGTCTTCATTAACTGCCATAAGCGCTTTCTTCCCACTTAAAAGCTCAAGAAACACTACCCCATAGCTGTAAACATCGCTCCTCTCTGTCAACTGCCCATATAAAGCATACTCAGGGGCAACATAGCCCATTGTCCCGGCTACTCTAGTGCTCAAATATGTCATCCCCTCTAGTTTAAACTTTGCAAGCCCAAAATCAGCCACTTTCGGCTCAAACTTCTTATCCAAAAGTATATTACTTGCTTTAATATCTCTATGAATAATAGCCGGTTGAGCACCATAGTGCAAATAAGCTAACCCACGAGCCGTGCCAAGCGCAATCTTTTGGCGAATTAGCCAGCTTAGCTTATTCACATTCAACCCGAATAGGTGATCATGAAGACTACCATTCTTCATCAAATCACACACAATTATCCTCTGGTGGCCTTCTAATGGAGTCGTTGCAGTGCAATACCCTCTCAAAGCCACAAGATTCACGTGTTGAACACTGGCAATCACCTCTACATCATGTGTGAAACTCGCATCCCCTACCAATGAACAATTCTTGAATCTCTTCAATGCAACTTCAGACCATCTGGTAATACCCCTTTGTACACATTCCCATACGCTCCACTTCCATTTATGTTTTCCCTAGAGAAATTCTTAGTTGATTGCTTGGTTTCATCAAATGTGTACCTAACCAAAGTGGTACTTCCACTAATGGAATCCAACCCAAAAGCCAAACTAGTTTCAGCCTCCGTTTGGGAAGTGGGTTGACTTTTTGGCTTTTTGGCTTTTTTGGCTATTTTAGCCTGAGCTTAAAAGCTTGGTTTGGGAAGGGCTTTTTGGCTTTTTTTAGTTTTTTTGTGAGAGAAGAATGTAATGATTATGAGTTGGATGTGATGTTTTGTTTGTTATGGCTAAAATAGCCTATTTTGTTTTTTGTGGCTAAAATAGCCAAAAAAACCTGCAAACCCACTTGCCAAACACAGCACTTGGAAATCGTCCTCTGCTGCCTCAATTCTTCTCTTGGTGATGACTACGACTCGCTACAGATGAACCTCATGATCTTGGCTACTTTTTTATGCATACAACAATCTTCAATTCAACGTCCCCGAATGAGGCAGGCATGTTCTCAATATAGATTATGCACTAATTATGTAAAATTTTGTGAAATTAAACACCAACTGATTTCCACTTGCAAGTTGTGCAGCTTCCAAAAGGCGGCCGAGGCAGCCTGAAGTTGGTGAAAAAATATGAAAAATCGTCTTTTTGGAAAAGGTACTATGTAGAGCTTTTTAATGCAGATGAATACAATGTAACCGGGGGATTAAATGGACTTCATCGGCAGAAACAACTGGATTTGGAAGCCTGAAATCACTGGTTTGAGAACTTCGTTGATCTATAGAAGCATCATGCAGTCACAAAAGAAACAAGTGTTTTTTTTTTTTCATTTTCATTCTTTGTTTTTTGTGTTTTAAGAAACAAATTTAATGAAAATTCGAAAGCATGCATTCTTTTTTATACTAATTATGCCATGTTTGGTTTGTGTTTTGAAATATGTTTTTGGAAAAAAAAATTCAAAAATATGTTTGGTTATAAATTTTCTCAAAAAAAATCTAAAATTACTTCTCTCTCTATTACACATCAATCAATCATTTTTTCTCTCTCTTCTCTCATTCTCAATAACCTATTACACATCAATCAATCATTTTTTCTCTCTTCTCTCATTCTCAATAACTTTTTCTCTTACACGTATCTACTCAACTATAACAAAATATCAAATCATTCCAAACTTTAAAACTATTTTTAAAATATATAACCAAACAAACCGAAAAAATTTCTAAATTAAATTTTTAAAAAAAAATTTATCTCAAAACACAAACCAAACACACCCATCATTTTTGTGCGAAAATAGCTGTCGGAAGCAACTTTTTATTGTTTTAGACTCGTTGAAGTGACTTGTCTTTGTTTATGCCGGAACTACATTCACGTTGCACTACAACATATAAGAGTTTTAGAAACTAAATGTTTTGATCTTTAAAAGTGAAAATTTTGTTGTAAAAGATATTTAGGGACCAATTTTTATCGTCAGAAGGATAGTCACTAAAAGGTCGTCCTAAAAAGTAAAAAACAAAGTTTTTAGTGATAGAATTTTGAAAATGTCACTAATAAATAGACTTTTAGAGACAAAATAATTTTGTCTCAAAATGATTTATTTTTTGAGAGAAAAAATTTGATCCCAAAAAGATAATAATTCATTACTAATGTCCAATTTTCATTACTAAAAATATAATAACAACACTTTTCGTGCAAGAAATGAGGTTGGAGAGAGTATCTTAGATTTTGCGTTGGCTTTTGACCTGGTGGTGGCCAATACTATGTATAAGAAGAGGGAGAAGCATTTGATAACCTTTAAGAGTGGGTCAATTAAGAGCCAAATAGATTACTTCTTAGTGAGAAAAGTGGACCGTCTAAAATGCAATGATTGAAAGGTGATTCTTGGAGAAAGCCTGGCCTCTCAACATAGGATTTTGGTACTAGATTTATGTTTTAGAGGGTAATACCAAGCTATGAAGGATGGTTGGCATCGTAGGACGAGATGGTGGGACCTAAAAGGGGATAAATTAGAAATATTTAATAATAGAATGGATAATGAAGGTACTTGGGACTTGGAAGATGATACTAACACTATGTGGAACTCGATGGCCAATTGTATGAGAAAAATCTCAAGGGAAGTGCTTGGAGAGTCGAAAGGGATGGGACCCAGCTTTCGGGATATTTGGTGGTGGAGGGAAGAGGTTCAAGCGGTAGTTAAGGCAAAAAAGAGTACTTTAAAAAGTGACAGAATGATAGAACTGAGTAAAACATTAAGAGCTATAGATTGGCTAATAAGGAGGTTAAAAAAGTAGTGAGAGAGGCTAAGTTGAAAGCTTATGATGACCTATACACTAAATTAGATAGTAAGGAGGGAGAGAAGCGGGTATACGAACTTGCTAAGATACGGGAGCGGAAAACAAGAAATTTTAATCAAGTTAAGTGCATCAAGAGTGAGGATTCTAAGGTATTGGTGAAGGATGAAGACATTAAGGAAAGATGGAAGAACTATTTTGAGAAACTATTAAATGAGGAATATGGAAATACGACAATAGGGGAAAAAGTAGTCAGTAATACGATAAACCAAGACTATAGGTTCTATCGCAGGATTAGGAACTTTAAAATGAAAATTACACTTAAGAAGATGAAATCAAATAAGGCTTTAGGACCCGATGATATCCCTATTGAAGCTTGGAAGTGTTTGGGTAAAAAGGGGGTTGCTTGATTGACTAGGTTGTTTAGCAAAACTTTGTTGACTATGTACAGGCCAGATGAGTGGAAGAATAGTATTTTAGTGCCAATCTATAAGAATAAAGGAGATGTTCAAAATTGCAACAACTATAGAGGAATCAAGTTAATGTGTCATATAATGAAAGTGTGGGAGAGGGTGATGGAGCGCCGATTGCAAGATATAACAGAGGAGTCAGAAAGTCAATTTAGATTTATGCATGGCAGGTTAACAATGGAGGCGATTTATCTTTTGAGGAGAGTAATAGAAAAGTATAGAGAAAAGAAAAGAGGCATTCATATGGTGTTTATCGACCTTGAGAAAGCATATGATAGAGTGTCCCGGAATATAATATGGTGGGTGTTAGAGAAGAAATAGGTGACAAAAGATTACATTGATGTAATTAGGGACATGTATAAAGAGGTGGTGACCACTATTAGATCGCTTGCTGGAGAGACAAATGAATTCCTATCATGTAGGGTTACACTAAGGATCTACCTTAAATCTTTATCTTTTTGCTTTTGACGAGAAATATTCAGGATGACGTGCCATGGTGTATGCTTTTTACAGACGATATTGTGCTAGTGGATGAGACTAGAGAAAGAGTTAACACAAAGTTGGAGATTTGGAGAAAAGCTCTTGAATCTAAAGGATTCCAGATAGGCAGAACTAAGACAGAATACATGGAGTGTAAATTTAGTAACAGTAACAATGAAAGCAGAGGAGAAGTGAAGATTGAGAACCAAGAACTCCCTAAGAGTGAACATTTTCATTATTTATGGTCAATTATCACAACAGTGGGGGAGATTGATGTAGATGTAGCCCATAGGATTAAGGCGGGATGGTGTAAGTGGAGAAGTGCGTCTCAGGTTCTGTGCGATAAACAAATACCCACTAGACTAAAAGGTAAGTTCTATAGAATGGCTATTAGACCAGCGATGTTGTATAGAACGAAATGTTGGGCAACCAAGAAACAACATGTAGATAAAATGAGTGTGGCTAAGATGAGGATGCTAAGATGGATATGTGACAAGACTAGACAAGACAGAATTAGGATTGAGTGTATTCGGGAATAGGTAGGAGTAATATCGATAGAAGATAAGTCGAAAGAGAATCGATTGAGATGATTTGGTCACATTCCACGAAGACCAACAGAGGCAGTAGTGAAAAGATGCGATGCTGTAACAGTAGATGGGAGTATTAGGAGACGATGTAGACCTAGATTGACGTTGGCTAGCGTTGTAAATAGAGATATAGATCTACTTAATTTGACTAAAGAAATAGTCTTTGATAGGGCCGCGTGGAAAAGAAGGATTCATGTAGCAGACCCCATTTGATGGGACTTAAAACTTGGTTTAGTTTGGTTTAGTTATTTGTCTCTCTTTTTTATAATAATTTTTTATAAGGACTTTTTAGACGTGTTTTGTGTTTGTAGAATGATTATTTGGTACTAGTCATGATACAAGTAAATTTATCTCATAAATGATTGAGATATTTTGACTTTTGTTTGTGAGTTTAAATTAATTTTTAGTTTATTTGTGTTAGTTAGTATTAAAATATGATGGAGGAACTATAAGTAGTTGAATCGTATGTTTGAAAAAAAAAATTATAGTGAAAGTTTGAGTAAGACTTTTTGATAAATAAGTCTAGTTCACATGACCTGCTTGTAATTAGTTCACATGACCTGCTTGTAATTGCTTCCAAAATTAATCGACAATGTAAACTAGGATTAGTGAAAAAAGTAAATGTGTTTTGAACCATAGAGGCCTTTTCAAGAAGTTGACAAATTTGATCTGGCCCAATAATGATGCGCACCTTGGGCCTTCAGTTTATTAAATAAATTTGGGTCACGGAAGAAGTTGATGGGTTGTCATGCCACTGGAACTTTGGGGTTTTCCTTTTCCCTTTTTAAATAGACTAGCTCTCTTCTTCTTCTTCTTCTTCTTCTTCTTCTGCTTCTTTTTCTTTTTTTCTCAATGCTTTAGATTTGTCAAGAGAAAGTAAAGTTAAATGAAAATAAAATTATTTTACTAGTAACTAAACAAAAAAACAATTTTTTGACAAATATCGATTCATTTTCTTCACCTAAACAAAAGAAGAAAAATAATCCCCTTAATTTTCTATTCATATATTTTCTTTATCCTTTTCTTTTCTCTAAGCAAATCTACGATTCAAACGCCACTTTTGTTGCAATTCTTCTTTTGTACACCCCTAAAGCATTCACCCAAGAAATATGACATATTCGAAAGAAAACTCTTTAAAAAAAAAAAAATACTGTTTATTACCTGACTACCATGCTAATTTTGACTGTCTAATCAAACTAGTTGTTGCTGTGAAAATGGTGCACGTTTGGCAATTGCTCTTGGGCCAGTTTTTCCAGCTTTTTTTAATTAATTAATAATTATTAAGTATGACAATAAGATTATGAAGAAAGAGATTTTAATCCTGTTTGTTTATCATGTTAATTCTTCCTCCAATTACATAATTCAGTCGGTTACTAATCACACCATATATACATTTTAGGTGCATGACATCATGAATACAAGTAAAAAATATATATTTTTTACTTGGAGCTTAAACCAAGTTATCTAGAAGCCACATAAAGAATTTGCAATTAGGATATAAGTTGTCATTTTAGGGAGGGGAAGGACAAAAAATAATATTTACTATCCCTAGCTTAGCTCACAAGGCTTGAAATTGTAATTGTAGACATTTTCTAACTGTTAGTTCTTTCAGTATGT